GTCGTAGTCGTAATCGTCGTCGTAGTGGTACTGGTACTGGTAGTGGTAGTGGTGGTAGTAGGAGTACTAGCGGTGGCAGCGGTAGTGGAAGTGGAAGTGGTAGCGGCGGTAGTCGCAGTAGCAGTAGCAGTAGCAGTGGCAGGGTAGTAGTAGTAGTAGTAGTAGTAGTAGTAGTAGTAGTACTAGTACTAGTAGTAGTAGTAGTAGTAGTAGTAGTACTAGTACTAGTAGTAGTAGAAGTAGCAGTGGCAGTGGCAGTAGCAGCAGTAGCAGTCGTCGTTGTAGTATGAGTAGCAGCAGCAGTACCTGTAGGAGCTTGACAGCGCAGGCTGTACGACTACCACTGTACTGCTGCTTCTCTGCCTTTCCTGACTGCTGCTCCCTCACTTAAAAGAAACAGACTTGTATCAGTTCTCTGAGTAAGCTGCCTGCTCAGGTTTTTGTTACTCCTCTATGTGGCCACAAGTAGTCGTCCATTCTCGCCACGAGACAACATGCGAAAACACAACATTCGCAAGTTTTGCTGATTACAGTACCTACGCCCCAGAACAGTGGCCGGACACTTGCTAGCTGAAAGATACTGGCCAACAGGAATTCCTCAAACGCTAAACCCTAAACCCAACCCAGTGGCTGCCCATGCTCATCAGCAGGCCGGCATATCCTGGTGAAGCGCTGGTGTCCTCCGTCGCTTCATAGGTCTGCCTGAACAGAACCAAAGTTTAGGTTTGGGATAGGGTTTAGGGTTTATGGGTTAACGGGCCGGAACAAGCAGACCGCCAAAGCTTGGATCTGTTGTGGGGAACTTCATACCATGTCAAATTCGGAGTCCTTCGCCAATTCACCCGTGAAGCCCTCCAGGCAGACTTGCAAGCAACCGGAAGTCTTCTTGCTCTTCACATTGATGTCAATACGCCGGGTACCCCACACTGATATGCTATGAGTATTTCCTCGACTTCTCTTTGAACCGTAAAGCTTAAACCCTTATGTTCTAGCTCCTTCCGGCATCGCGGAACCTGGCGACCACGAACTTGGCCATAGCGTCATCTTCCGAGCCGTGATGCAGGAGCCACTTGCCCATGCTGGTGAGCAGGCCTTCGAGGGAGCGGGTGGGCAGCTTAGGGCCCTGTCATATTCTGGATATAAAGGTTTAGGGTGCAGGGCTTTAGTGTGATTTGAGTTTTAAAGTAGTTGAGGACTCTAGATTCTGTTGGAGGATTTGCATGTCTTGACAGGCCTATCTAACATTGGCCGGCTTCCCACATCAAGCAGTAATCACGCATGAACCATCACCAAGATTCAGGCTGACATCGATGTTCAATGCAAGGAAAGCCGCAGAGAGGTCTTAATTACACGGAATCGGGGAATCCTGCCTGCATAGTTGGTCGTGCGTGTAGCGCCGGCCGAGACATACTGCGCCTCTGCTTCCTTGAATTTCTCCATGGCTTCTGGCAGGAGACCTTAATCATCAGCAATGACGGTAATGATTGCTCGGACAGCCCTTTCAGTGTCGCAGTTCGAGACACTCGAAACGGATACATTTTAGAACAAGCTAAGACAGAGACCTTTCTCCATGAACCAGATTCCCATGTTCTTGAGGAGACCAGCATACTCCCTCGATGAGCTGGTTCCAATCTTCCTGTACACTCTTTGGGCCTCCAAATACTTGTCCATCTCCTCTTTTTTCTGATTTTGCATTCCATACCAAATGCCAATCTGAGCTAGAAGATTCGCGTATCCTGCACATTCCATGGCACGCTCATCTTCGAAGGCACCTTTGGCTTCAAGGAACTTGCCCATGGCTTTCCCGAGCCGCCCTTGCTCGCCATAGCAAATTCCCATCCTCATCAACTCCTCGGCGGTCACACACTCGCTCTTCTTGCATTCTTTCTTTTTCCTTCGGTGAGACTTCCGTGAGTCCGACTCAGCGGAAGATTCGCGCCGAATCAGTGGTGCCTGTTCTTGAAGGGCCGGCAGGAAACTGCGGCGCAAACCGAACCCGGCCCACCAAACGATGCCTGACAAGGCGACACCGACCACCGAATGCTTGAGGAGTGATGCACCGACGCCCATGATGCCGAAAATGCTCAAAGCAGGACAGGGCAAGGCCGTCCAAGTGGATCAGGCCCGGCAAAGCGGTCGCAATAGTTCCGCCGAGCCGTCTTGTGGCTGGATGTCTGACCTTGCTTTTCCCTCCTTTAGAGGGTCTGTGAACCTGCTTTGGAAAAATGGCACTTGGCCGAGAACCAATGCTGCGGGGTTTGCATCTCACTTCCCTTGCAGGTCGGATCGAGTACTTTGCTCTGCACTCTGATGCAGTCACTCATGGACTCTTCTGGGCCTTTTAGGGCAAAAGCCTGACATGGACTCTTCGGCCATCCTCTTTTTGTCACTGTTTGGTGGTCTGGAGACTGTGTGAAACAGATCTAGGAAAGCTCATCTCCGGAAAAGCGTCGGCCCGGCGACCCGGCAGTGTCCTTAGACACACTACTGGACTACAAAAACATCCTTTCATCAGAGCCAGCTTTGTTTCTTTGGTAGCTGTGTTTCTATGTTTTGAAAATGCAAGGTCGCCCAGTGCGCTGAGAGTAAACGGAACATTGATGAAGCTTGTTGGAGGGAGCATGTCTCCGTTTGACGGGCAATGCCACCCAAGAACGCTGACATGGTTCTCCAGTGATGGCTACGGCGGTTCAACCATTCCAGGATGCCTACTCTCCTACTGCCAGCGGTACGGTCAGATGCCCTAACACAGATGCTCATGATTGCTCATAAGTGCCGCAGCTCTCACACAGAACCTGGAACCACTCTGCTAAGGTACCAAAGGTACCAAGGGCTCAAGACTGGCCGGTCCCCGGCATGCGCCTCACAAGACTTTCATAGCGAGATCACGGTCGTCTTTACCACCTTTGAAGGCAGCACGTTTTCGATGTGAGTCTTGTTTTTCTTTTCACCCTCCTCCTCCAGCTTAGCCTCCACCTCTGCCCTCTCGGCAATCGGAGCTGACCGCGTAGAGGAGTAGCCGGATGGGCGAAGTCTCCGAGAGGGTCTACCCACGGCCTCACCATCCAGGTCACGGGCATAAGCTGAGCGTCCTGAGAAGTTCTTGTACATGGCAAGCTTGCTGGCATCGAAGCTGATTGAAGACGTGGATATCTCGCTTAGTCTTCTCACCATCGTCTCTCCCATGTCATCGGAGTTGCTAGAAGACACCGCCCGCGCCGCGGGTCCTCTCGCTGGAAAGCTCAGCAAGGGACTTGTGCCCGAACCCAATGATGAGGTCGACACATCCATTCTTGTGGGCTATCCACCTGCCATCCGACCCATCACCGCGTCATCTGCAACAACTCTAAACGACACCCTGTTGAGCCAAAATCCGTGTCAGCGGTCATTTAACAGGCGACACTCTCTCGCGGGCTCACGGGCGAGTCGAGCGATGGCAAGCTTTAACTTGGAGAATGTGGAGACTTGGAAAAGCGTTTCGCTGACTGATCTCTGTCCCCCAGCTCTTCACGACAAGAGAGCACACACAGGCCCCTTTTGTTCAACAGGCTTTCAGATCCTGTAGCTGTGTGTGCAAAGGTGCGGTCAGCTTTACTGCCAGCATCCACCTGAACCCCTCGCCGGTGGCGCCAACTGCAGGAGTATGAATATACGTATATATATATATATACACACATGTAATGTATGTATGCATGCCTGCATCCATGGATGTATGTATGTATGTATGTATGTCAGGTATGTATGTATGTATGTAAGTATGTATGTATATGTTTATGTATTTGTATATGTATGTGTATATATATATATGTATGTAGGTGTAGAGTATCTGTGTGTATGTATGTATGTATGTATGTATGTATGTATGTATGTATGTATGTATGTATGTATGTATGTGTGTTTGCATACATACATACATACATACATACATACATACATGCATGCACACTAACAGGCTATCGAAGGAATAAGATTTGGGCGCAGCCAGTCACGACAATTGCACAAAGGACATATCCTGGCTAGTCCAGAGAGTAGAAGGTTGAACTTGAAATGCTCCCCAATGCAAGTTCAGAGCAGAAAGATCCTTACTGCAAAGGTGCCAGTAATCTCACACCTCCCCAAATGCTATTTAAGATTACCCCTCGCACTGCTGGCACCACCTGCCAGTCCAGGTCACAACGTCGAGCATTGGCATGGCCGGGACTCTGGTCAGGTTGACTGGAGTGGTGGTGGTGGTGGTGGTGGTGGTGGTAGTAGTAGTAGTAGCAGCAGCAGCACCCAGCACGGCCATAACGATCACAATTAAGCGGCACGCGCGACAACAAGCATGACGGCAGGACCGTACTATGACGAAACCACCATTACAGGTAAAACTGTAACTGGTACTTACATCGATCTCCATGGCAGTAGTCGTGGCAGTAGCACCAAACACAGCTACCAACAGCATTGGCACACCAACAGCCCCACAAATACCGGCAATCGTGTGCGATTACTCGTCGTCTTCCTCTTTTAGTCTCCGTCGTCGTCTCGGCGTCGCCGTCAGCACAACTGTCGGCATGTGCTGGCACAGCACTGGTTGCGAGTATAGAGTTCACAGCACGAGCTGCAGGCTAGTTAGTCCTGGAAGTGTCGGCGCGCTCCAGAAGTACAGGACCACTAGCTTTCATTGCCTCTGCAACCTAGATTCAGAACGCCTGCACACTTGGCAAAAAAGGAGTGCTGTCTGACCAAGCCCGGCAATGAGTGAAACGCCTACCGCCACGGGACGCAGGCCCGCCGTGACCCAAACTCTGAACCTCCCCGACGGAAGTAACCTGGGCAGCAAACCGCAATCAGAAACAGGTCATGGGTGTGTGCCTAGATGAGAGGGTGCGGCACGATAGATGCACAGCTGGGGAGACATAGTCCTTGTCGTCACCACCCCCATGCAACTTGAGGCATCTTCAGTCGCCATATTATGGTGTTATGTTACAATTATCACAAGACATTATTTTCTATCATACTATATTCTGTTTTATTATAATGATATACGAGTATTCCATTATGCTCCCAAAAACTCCACAAAAAAGCTCTCAGTCGACCGGGAAGCTCTTCGACGGTTTTAGCCTGCAAAGACAGTTTCCAAAGAGCAGCAAGGGATATCCCGGCTGACTTACATTATTACGCTTGCTAGTACTGCTCTTATACCAGTTAAAAATGTGTTCTAGGATATTGAACTTTTGATACAGTGTTATCTTGAAATATCCCGCCCTCTCCGTTTCAACCATTGCTGCTTCATGGACCGATGGCAAAACAGACGAAAGGAAGTCAAGCGCACAATTCAGCAACACTGATACTGATACGGGGTATAAGATGTCACGAGAAAGTAGCCGTGATGGAAACGATGCTAACATTTCTCCCAGCAGCGCTCGCCAGAAGAGGAACTGCAAGCCTTGCTGGCGAACCAACGGAAACATGTGCACTCCTCCGCCTCCGACAATTCGGATCCAAAACCATCAGCGGCCAATGATGCACCACTTTTGGGCAACATAATATGTTCATGCAGCGTTCTAGATTGGCAACCGTTCAGAAACTGTTGCGAGCTTGCCCCCAGAACGCCAATTACACCCTCGGCCCAGTCTTCTGCGAAAACGGTTGCAAACAGACAAGTTACAGAACACCACAAGAATGAAGCTATGGCGAACTTGCGAACAAGTGCATAAGCACGTGATCAAGCGAAGAAGCAGTTCAAACATGCAACTCACGTTGGTGAATCTGTGTATGTGCATAACATTGCTATTGTTATTGTTATCATATATATATATATATATTGTATGTATATATGAATGCATGAATGCATGTACGTATGTATGTATGTATGTATGTATGTATGTATGTATGTATGTATGTATGTATGTATGTGTGTGTGTAAATGTGTAACATGTATAACATGTACAGATGTACATACTGAGAGATTTCAGAAAGTATGCAAGCTGCTCCCATCAAGTGGACCCAACCTCCCCTGCTCCCTGGGGCCTGTTTAGGCTCGGAGAGCGGCTTCCAAGCGACGCATCTCGCGTTCGGCGACGCCCGAGGAGGCTCGCAGGAGACTGGCCTTACAAAGGGTCTGCGGCTTTGACGGTTTAGGGATTTAGACCCTAAACCCTAAACCCTAAACCCTAGCTGCTTAAAGTCGCAAATCTGAGCACTCGGCGCACCGTGTCTGCCTAGCCTCGATGGCTGCACGCTGCAAGGCCTGGGTCAGGCTTGCCAGCCCGTGAAAGAATAATAGATAATCATAGGTAATAATAGTAATATTAGGTAATAATAGTAATAATATAATAGTAAAAAAAATAAAAAAAGTAATGAAAGTAATAATAGTAATAATAGTAATAATAGTAATCATAGTAATCATAGTAATCATAGTAATAAACAGTAATAATAGTAATAATGTTATCTGTCAGGTCAGCTCCATGGCAATTCCAAGCTGAATCAGCTCGGTATTTCTCAGGCCGGAGCCCTTCGAAGCCACAGCAAGTAGCGCTTGCCGTAGAGAACAATATCATGGCCTGGCCACGAGGACGTTGCTCCCAACATGAATTGACTACCCTAAGACCCAGAGTATCGCATCTGCAGTTTGCCACTGGCTCCAGACCTCTATCGTAGTCTGGTTTAGACAAAGCCTTCGTGCTCAAACAATGTGCAGCCTTGTCCAAGCGGGCTGTGCGCTGACGCCAGGATCCGGGCTTCAATCTGCCTGGCTGCGTGCGCTGAAGATACGAAATACAGCCCGGCTCACACCCAGGCCTGGGTGGGGGCTTTGGGCTTTGCACTGCATCCTCACCGGAGGAAGGCGGCCTTCTGATTCCGAATTCTAAGCCCCGAACATGCCCGGGGCTGTCCTCCGGCTGAATGTACGTAGACTTCTGAATCATAAGCATCCATTCTCTCAGGGCCCGTCATGTAATCAGATCGCTGTTGAAATCGTAGTAGGATCCCTACGACCACATCAGGACCCCCTTGATAATCTGATAACATAGGATAACCCCTGTGTTAATCGATCTAGGACGCGCAAAGTGTTCCGTAACTGTATCGGGATCGCAATGATAAGCCCACCCCACACCCCACTGTAAGCGTAGCCATGATAAGTAGGACCCCTAGTACAATCCCTACTAAGTCGAGATCACGGTGTGTATAAACTAAACCCGAGACTGAAGGGCCAAAATTATGGTCCCTTTTCGGGGTCCTTATTATAATACGGCACCTATTATCTAGGGTACCCCAAAAGGAACCCTAATTTTGACAACCACCCAAGTTGAAAGCTCGACAAGCAGACTCTGGATCTTGCGACTCACAGGCTTCGACCTCAGATTGCAACAGCAGCGAACTTTACAGGGTTCAGGGTTTAGGGTAGGATTTTCTGCATTTCTTGTCCAGGGGCTGTGACAGCGTGTGGTGTAGGATGTTTATGGGGACTCATAGGTTTCTCTGAGGGGCTTAGCACAGGGTCCATGGTGCCTTGCAGAGCGGATTACGGTAGAGATGAACATAGAGGGATGGCGCTTGGGAGTAGAATAAGTATTTCAATAACGGTTTTGGCATGAATAGGGAACAGGGATTGTGATGCTATGGTTTATGATTGGACTAGAGTGCCAAGTATAAGGAGAATTTGAATAGTGGTTAGAATGGGGAAGGAGGCTGGGGAGTAGAACAAGGGATTACCGTCGGGAGGGTGATGTGGATTCTGGTAGGGATCCAAAACAATGAGGCCCTTTTTGAAAGGCTGTCTGCTGTCTATGAACCGGAGGTCTACATTGCTCTCCTTGTCCTTGCATTATCCTTTCAGGAACTCCGGTTCTGCCGGCCTGCAGGATCTGCGAGAGTCTCGCAGATGTTCTGTTCGTTGGGGTCCGGGGATGGTGCCGCTGAGAAGTCTGAGTCTCGATCCATCAGGGTGTGATGAATGGCCACACATTCCTCCCACCTCGGGCAATTAAAGCTGGGGAAAGTCCTCAAAGACACGAGCAGACCCTGCGTGTCTTGAGCGCCGGACTGGTGACGCTGCAGCTCATGTCGCTGCTGCAGGAACTCCTCGCCCAGGGCTGACCACGTTTGACAAGCGTAGGCGGCTTTGGTCTGAGAGCTTCAGACAGTTTTCTGGGAGCCCTTGCCTGGCGGCCCTTCTCTACGATTGGATGGGCAGCTCCCAATGCTTTGGCCGCGGCCTCCAAACACAGCACTCGCTTCTCCGCTTAGGCTGCGCTTGGTTCAGGGCCCCTCGTCGGTACGCATGCGATGCTGCCTGAAATGCAGCTCCAATGTAGCATTGCGGGGAAACTCTGCGCCTGGATGCTACCTGCCAGAACTCGCAAGTCCCTGGTTTCGGAACTCGCCAGCAGGTCAAGGCAGTGTCTCGCCTCCAGGAATCACGCCACTGAACAGCTTAGATCTGCAAAGACAGGTTGGTTGAGCAGTCTACCGGCAGGCTCTGACGGTTCTGTGCTGCAGCTCCGGTCTGCATGGCGGTACACGGCTGTTGGGAGTAGGTGTGGAGGCATAAACAGACGGATGCGGCAGCTGGGGCCTCAAGAGCATCACGCTGGTTCTAAAATAAGCTAGTGGCAGCACCTGGAACACTGTGAGGATCTTACAGAAGCACGCTGCCTCGAGATCCTTGTGAGCTCCAGCTTTTTGCTGTAGCTTTATCCTCGGCTGCATGCCATGGTTGTACTGCCAGCAGGAGAAGAGGTAAATACCCGAACACAATGTCCGACGCGCACGTCTAGCAGGGTTGACGATGCTTCAAGACTGAGGTCTTCAAAAACGCCGGGCTCCAGGCATGTGAGCTTTTTTGCGAGCAGCCTCTACGACCTGCTTGAGTGGCAGGGCACACTTGCTGCATCTGCAAACTGTTAGAAGTAAGACTCATAATACTGTTCACAGTAACAGTGCGGCCATTATCAACCGTCCTAGTAATTTTTGTAGCAACTTTGACAGCCGTCATTTGTCGCGGCAGCGGCCGTGAAGATGACACTGCAGTTGGAGCGGCATGGCAACGAGCCCGGGAACGGAGAGTCATGGGTAGATGTTGTGTGGCTGCAGCCGCGACCTTATGCCTCTGCGTGTGCATCTATGTCAGACAAAAGACAGAAAAGCCTAAAACCTCTGCGGCAAACTCGAAACCATACTAACCTAAGAAAAGAAGCCGGAACCCGAAACACCCCCAAACCCAAAACGCTTCACTTGTCTTTCTGAGGCGCAAACAGGGTGTGCTTGGCCAAGGTCAGCTTCGGCAGCCCGCAGAGCGGCCTAAGTCCAAGCTGGGCATCGTCTGTCCGACTTTTGAGTCTCAGTTTCAATAGATGATGACCCTTCTTGTTACCACGATCATTGCCATGTAGAGACACAGGCATCATCGTCAGCAGTCTCATGTTCAGTTCGTCAGCAGCACCATGAACATCACCACCATCGCTGCATTCATGATCGTGAACTCAAGCAGCGCTGGAAACGATCTATTCGCACTTACCGCACAGGAATAACAGTCAGGACTGCCATTCCAGCATTGCATGGGTCTTAGCACTCTTGACGATATGCATGATGCTTGCCCCAAGCCCTTGGACCCGCCACCGCCTGGAAGTCCTCGAAGCCACCAGCGTGACCACGCGCCTCAGTGTTTAGCTCCGAGGCAAAGTTGAAACAAGCTGCATAAACATAAGGACCAAGGAAGCACAAGCAAAGTATATGTATATATATATATATGTGTATATATATATGTGTATATATATATATATATTAGGTGCACAGACATACCCAGGACTGCAAGTCTATCACGAGCGGCGGCCGCCGTGGGAAAAGGTGGCCGAAAGCTAAGCTGCAGGCCAGTTCTTGCAGCTCAAACGCCAAGGTTTCCTCCACGGGATCAACAAATCAACTTTCGAGCCCGCCTTCGACATGATTTCCTAGATTCGACCCCTGCAGTTTCGAAACCCGCTCCTGACTCCCAGACAGACATGGGTTGAAACTACGACCTAAACCGTCAGGTGCGCAGCCACCGACGCGACAATACACTAACAAGAAGACTGCATCGACACTGGCAGTAAAGGGGAAGTCATCCGGGCAGCAGCAGCAGTAGCAGCAGCGCCAGCACCAGTAGCAGCACTGGCAGGAGCAGCAGAGAGCAGCGGCAGTCGCAGTCGCCGTCGCGAGGAGGAGGAGGAGGCGAGGAGCTTCAAGCTGCTGAGGATCTTCTTCGGAGCAATGCAGATAAAGTGCGGAGAAGCAGAGAGGGCCCCCAGGGCCATGCTACGTGGCCAGTGTGGCAGAGTAAACCATTTCCGGCAAGAAGGTGTTACATGAGTATGTAACAGTATGTAGTCCTATTTCCCAGTGGAGGAGCTTGCTGGAACCTGCAGTAGGACTCTGCAGAAACGGGGCCGACTCGTATCCGCAGTGCCTGGTAGGTCAACTTATGTTGAGTGGCGAACTTTTATCCTGGTGGCAGCAATACTGGTTGTTGCAACAGTCGTTGTACAGTGAGTCGCAACAGAGGAAAGAGGAATCAGAGGAACAAGCGTGATTGCGATGACAACATCAACAAACATAGTTGCATCAGGACCCATGAAGCCATGTACAAGTCAGAGGCCTTGTGAAAGCGCACTGTAGCCTTGAAGCCTCAGCAGAATGGGAATACACACAGAGGACAGACGCATTAGGGCGGGAACTTGATATTTTTGGACAAGACCACAAGGCGAGGACTTGCCAGGCTCTCACAAAATCCCCGGCCAGACGCAACGAAGCCACTTATCTACTCGCAAGAATTTAGCAGAATTCTTGACTTGGAAAAACTGTACCGGTTGTCTCAGGCGCCGGCAGAGCCTGCCCTGACGAGATCGCAAGTCTCTCAGATGGCGGCGGGCAGCCTAGTCATCGGAGCATCCATTCGAACCTCTAAACATCCTTGCTCTCAATTGAGTCCTAAGCCCCTAAACCCTAAGCCCCAACCGTAATAGAACACCACCGAATGCACAAGAGAGGAAGCCTGGCCACTCCCCGGCCGGTCTGGCCTCAACGGCCTCGTTGCCAGACCCCAGCCGTGCGGCCGCCTTGGAGAGAAGTAAGGCATCTAACATACAATATGCAACAACACAGCCTATTGTGCAAAACATGTGATATAGAACATAGAATACAACCTGTTGTGCATAACATGTGATATAGAACATAGAATACAGAACATTCTATCGCGTTGAGGTGTCGGAAAGACCACGGCTGCTGCACTCTGCGCTGAGTCTTTGGCCCACTTCGCGGCCTTCGAGAGCTTCTCTTGAGATGCCACGCAGCTCCTCACGTTAAGTGTATATAACTAATATGTTTATAGCAAAATTATGAAAACACAATACCAGTAATAAGAAGAACAACAGTAATATCAGTGTTGTTGTACTATGATTTGGGACCCAAAGTTGAAACTCCAGAATGCCACGATCACACGGCAAAGCTTGCGGGCTATGAAGGACTGGGGTAGCTGCATGAAAGGGCTAGAAGCTCACAGACTTCAGGAGGTTAGAGTCCACCTAAACCCTAAACTAAACCCCTCAACCCCCGAAATCCCTAAAGGACATGTTCACTTGCAAGTGTTTGCCTAAGCCCTAAAACCCCGTGTCTACACACCTCTCGGCAGTTTGTAGGCCTTTTTTTGCGTCCGAGGCACTGCAGAGAGGGAACTTCGGCCCAGGGGCTGCCCGGAGTTGGCGAGTCCTTGGGCTTCTCGGGTTTGGGGTTTAGGCTTTAGGGTTTAGGGTTTAAGGTTTGGGTTCACTCTCTGGTGGTTTCGGGCTTGTGGGGTTTAGGCCTTGAGTAGGATTTGGGGGCGCTTGAGGGGTCTAGGGCTGGAGGTGCCCTGATCAAATGCGTCTGAATCAATGAAAACGCCTGGTCCGACCGTGAAGGCACCGTGAATCGGCGTCACTCTGACTTCGCTGGAATCCTGAAAGTTCCATAGCAGCTGATGGGCTGTTCTGGACACGGCATCTTTGGCTGTGCTTGACAGCGACCGTCGGCCCAGCATCAGGGTTAACCGCTCTGGAGATAGTGACGAAGGACCTCAGAAGGAAGGGCGAGATCAATTCGAATGATGGTGAGACTGCATCTGTATGCCTCGAGCTTTGTTTTTTCCTACCTGGATGTATGTATCTTCCCCTTTGATGGTGTGGCGAAGAGGGTCGCACGAACTTCGCCCTTAACGTCAAGAAGCACCAGTCTCGAACAAACCTTCCAAGCTACGTCAGCCAGGATTGCAAGTCCAACTACTTAGGAAACCAGGATCCATTTCGACCCGACTGCTCAATGAGTCTCGATTGTGCGCGGAGAATGCGCGAATCCTCTTGCACGAATCCCTGGGCTCATCACCCTGGTGTTCACTGGCGGCGCGGCTGGCCTGCGCAGGAGGCATCTGTGGCCGATGAATCAAGCCCCGAAGCCACTGGCACACTCGTGGAGGTCTGCAGGTGCAGGTGCAACAGGCCCTTACGGACCCTTGACATCTTTGCTGCTGGTTCTCCCATCCAAGTCGGTAGGCTTTGTATAACTACATGCGAACAGCTTAACAAGAAACCTGAAGTCAATTGCCACTGCTACAATGCCACAGTATGGGGATTGAACCACGCTTTTGGTCGGGTCTGCTGGAACTCTCGGTATCCGTCCTCCAAGGGGGCTGTCGTGCTTGCTGCGCTGGGAGAAAGGTTCGACAAGAACGCCTCGGATGCGGCAACTCAAACTTTAGGTTGTCAGGTTCCGGCATCTGTGAACAACTTGTCATATGGCCAGGCAGTTCCTTGAAGGGCCTGTGCATGACGGACGCCAGCAAAACAAGTCATGGGCCTAGCACTGTCGAAAGACCTAAATGCCCTAAGCACTAAGCCCTAGATCCACCAGGCCCTAAACCTTCCACTAAGTCCTAAACCCGGTGGCAAGGCCCCCGGCCTTCTCCGTCGTGTCCCAGAGCTCTGGGCCTTTCCATGTAAGGCGGGATTGACGTCTCCGGTTTCGGGGACAGGGCTCAAAACTACAAAGACATGAGTAAGCACTCATAATCATAATCATCTTCCCCCACACACACAAACATCAATATTACTAGCCAGTACAACAAGACTATCGATGACGATAATCACAACCACCATAAAAACCGTAATGATAACCATGTTGATAATGTTCATGACAACAACAATGCCAAAAAGCAACACTAGCCATACTGGCAAAGAGCTGAACCCCCCCCTAAACTCTCGTAACACGAAAGTGTCCATTTCCCGGAAGCCTCAGAACAGGCCGAACGACCCGTTGTCTTAAGGGTCCTATCTATCCTATCTATGACCTTATGGTATCGCTACATCCTCGCACATCTTCAAGCTCCTCGGATCGGGACCCTAACAGGGCAGCGCAGCGGGTTAGGAAGCCAGCCCAAAACCCTTACTGTAGAACCCTTGTAGCATCCCTTAAACTGGCTTCAGCAACCCCTTGCCAACTGCTAACCCTTCTTACGCTCAACGGACGTGATCTTCTGATCCGGGATTTTGTCACTTCGAGGCTGAGGAGTGTGAGGGTTTGGGCCGTTACTTGCCGGCGGAGGTCGGGGCGCCTGAGCCCGCGCTAATTTTCTAGGACAAGTAGTGACCCGAATCGCCCGTAGAACCGTACTCAAGTGGCCAGATGCAAACAAACTCATTCAATTTGAGATGCTCCTCGGAATTCCAGTTGCACACAGCAGCCAAGCCCAAACTCCCGAACCTGCAGGGATATGAAATGCCGAACTTGCAGGTGATTCTCGTAGCACTCATCCGAGAGTGAGGCCCGGGGAGATCGGGGACATACTGCACATACTCGGGCTGCCATAGCCTGGCACGGGGCCGCTGCTGCACCGGCTTCGAATCTGTTGGATGCATGGGCTCAAAGCAGTCCGAAACCTCGACTCAAGCAAAGAACTGAGAGGCAGCGCACCGGGAAGCGCCAACCACACAAGCAGCAGCAGGAGGAGTTGCAGTAGGAGGAAGAGTAGGGGTAGTAAGTCGCGGGTTGGTCTTGAGCTTGGTCTCGCGGAGCCCGGCTTCTGAGAACATGGATGGCTCTAGAAACAGCCTTAAGGGGAAGAGAAATATGGTCAAGATCCGAGTGCGGCGCCATCATCACTCCCAGCGGCAGAATCGCAAGGTGAAACAGTTAGCAGCAGTCCCCAACATGGTTCCAAATAGTAATAAGGAACACAATATCCAATTATCAACCGCGAAAGCCTGCCGAAGCGACAGCGCTGCAGGAGTGCGCTCTGCCAGACCTTGCGCGAGAGGGCGTGCAATTGTCCAAGAAGCAGCCGCACATCGTTGTGTACTAAGTCTTCCAGGCGAAAAAGGGCTGCTAGTAGGAGCTGTTTTGGTTTAGAAAGGGATCGCAAAAACTGCCAGACAGCTCGTTCACCTAGCAACCCTGAGTACATCCGACAAGCTGCTTCGAAAAGCATAATTTTGACCCCACCCAGCAAAAACCACAGAGGCCAGGCCAGACCCCTGCTTGCAAGTGACCTTGGGACACGTTCTTGTGGCCCGCTGGGTGCCGAAAGCTGCATTCCCGGAGGTCCTGGCACAGCTTCGGGGCGACTGCATAGGTTGTACACTAGTTCACGGCTTCAATGAAAAATGCCAGTGTATGTCTTTGCTCAGAAAGCACCAAAAAGATGCAAGCTGTTCCGAAGAGTGACGGGAACCCTCCCGCTTTCAGAAGCAGTCTTCGGTTGCGCATCCCTTTCGTACAGAAGGTCTTCAGCCCCCTGTTGGCTCATATCCGGAGCGCCTTATCCGACAAAAGGTGAGTCACGCGCCCATCATGTGCTGGCTGGAAGGCTATGAGGCGCCACAACTTGATTCAACTTGTTTGACACAGAAACATGTGTGTGTGTGCACAGTCTTTAGTGTCTTAATGCTGGCTTTAGGAAGATATGTATGGAAACATGCGTGTGCAATCATACCTACAACAGGTACATGAATACATGCACGCATACACGCAAAAAAACAGCTGGACATACACATGCATATGTACTATATATATATACACACATACACAACGCACTCTCTCTCACAATATGCTTACACACACACACACATGCGTGTCATTGGAATCCTGAGCACATCGCGTGCAGAACATACTTTGGGAGATTCTGGAGCCCACGTGCCACAAGTGCTTTCGCTCCATGTGTGCGACCAGCGTGGAGAATTGCCCCCATCCCGCTCTGATTCTTTTCTTCTCCAGCCGAGCTCCGGATGGGGCTTGCGAGAGTTGGAGAGCAGGCATGCAAGTAACTGTAAACAATTCCGCCCGGTCGGAACGGCAGCTTCGGGCATCAGTCTGTATTGTACTGGACCACCTGCAGGCTGGGCTTCATGGCAGTTTCGGGGGTGCGCGTGAACCTCAAAGGAGCCTGATTGCAAAATGCCGGTACATAGTATTGCTATCGAGGCACTTCATTCTCTAAGACTGCCTTTTTGAGACGCAGGGAGGGAGCGATGGAGGGAGGGAACGCGAGAGAAAGAGAGAGCCCGACAGAGATACAGACAGAGAGTTTAGAAAGAGAGCGAGATAGAGAAACCAAAAACGAGACAGCTGGAAGCTGACCTGCAACACGCTTCGCAAACTCTCAGGGAGTGCCGCTCCAAAAGGTTCAATTGCAACTCTCGGTCTCTGCAGCAATCGCAAGATGAAGCAAGAGCTTTGCACCAGAGGTTTTTCTCTTGAAGCCCAGCAGCTAAGCAACTATCACGCAGGACCTTGCCAACTTGACTAGCTCCACGAAGTATCTATTCCACATAGCCTTTACACAGGCCTTGCTGGCCTCCTCCGACTCTCATCTTACCACAGTGAATCAATACAAACATCCGCGGCTCTGCTTGTACCACCGCCCCGAGCGAGAAAGGAGCAGCCTTCTCCTGGAACCGGCGCATCTCCTCCGCAAGCCTCGAACACCCGGGCATGCGGCTGAGACACGACCCGTGTTATCTACAAGAAGGAGAGAGAGATATACAAATAAAAACTTATATATATATATATACACACATACAATGAACATATGTACAGATAGATTGACAGGCACACATGTAGGTACGTAGGTAGGTAGATAGGCAGACAGTCAGCTAGATAGGGGTAGACAAACAAACAGGTAGACAGAGCGACGGAGAGAGAGATAGACAGATAAACAGGTACACGGTACACGGATCGACAGATAGACTGCCAGACAGACAAACAGAGAGATAGACAGAAAGGAAGATAGAGAGATGGGTAGACACATAGTTGGTCAGTTTGTCTGTCAGCTAGATTCGACGCACAGATAGGTGGATGGATGGATGGATCGTTTCAAAGCAACAGTGGCGTCAGGAATCCCTGCTTCATGCCAAAGGTCAGCACGGGTGCATGCCTAAGCGAAGCAATGGTAAAGGAGGTCGCGGCGCCCAGCCAACATGCACAAAGACTTGGGGCGCAGGTTCTTACCGTGATCTCTGTCGTCTCATTCCTGTAGCACGAGGAACAAATTGGATATATCTCAAAATATGGAACCCTAAATCTCAACCCTAAACGCTGAAGGCTCGAGGTGGGTATGCACAAAACTGGCATGCATTCCTCCTACAAGAACTTCGGCGGCAAACGTGGCGGACCATAAATTTTGGCGAGCGCGGCACCATTTGAACAGGGCCTATGGCAGGTGCCGGAACGCTTATTGCATCACATCTACCGCATCTAACGACATCGCTAAATGGCCCTGCAGCTTGAGGCAGAGGCCCAGCTGTTCAAAATCAACAGGCATGGAACAATGTGCCAGTGTTGCAAAAGCACCTCAACAGCAGCACGATCAAACATTGGGGGTGCAGGGAAGTTGATCATGCAATCTGCCGCTTGCCCATGCGAAACGTTGCATCGATCATTGAGTGGCAAATGCCACCCTCGCCCCCTGCACTCTCCGCAAGCCCGCTGCATGCACCATGGCCGGGAGCTCTTTCCTTTCGCTGACAGATTCTCGAAGTGTGGGCTTGAGTGTCTCATGGCATGATCGCTTTGTATCGTGGCCCCGCATGTGCATCTTCTGGGGTAACCACTTGACGACTGCTGTGGTCGAGTCGATCACCATCAACAGGTTGAAAAGTGTCATCATGACGAAGCCAACTGACCCAAGCAAAAGAAACAGGGTGTCTCCAAGTCGGTAGAAGACCATCATCGCAGATGTAGCTTGAGTCAGCCAGACGTATCCTCGAACAAGCCATATCATCAGCGACTGAACCAGCACGATGGCCTGTGCAGACAAGTGTGGACTCAAGTTGGATAGTGGAATCTAAAACTACAGCACTTAACAACATACCGTGACCGTGCAGCTACAAGTCACCGCCGAGCAATGGAGTATTACAAGTTGGCACAGACTACTTACCTGACACTGCGTACTGGAACCCGGGATACTCAGGCCTTGAATTGCAACAAGTCCCGGCGAGAGTCTTGCGTGTCCAGGGTGAATTTGTAGCAACCCAGCAAATAGCCGACACCGGCAGAAGAAAGCATTGACCACATCAAAATGTGCAGTGCTCTCATCTTAGGGTAGTAGAGGATCATCGGCACCGTCAGCATCATGGAGAGTGTATGATGTAAGCAAACCATGACAATGAAATATTTCTTCGGCAGCTGCACGCCCAGTCCTTTGAAGCTGACTGGGCAAAAGGTTCTGAGAGTCGTCTGGACGGTGTCATAAGCCGAGTACGCTACATCTCCCACGGCACCAGCGTAGAACAAGAACTGCCCAACGGAACCGGCCGAGTCCCAGCCCAAAACAGCCACAGGAGTTAGGGCCAGGCTCACCACGAGATGATGGGAGCAGATGGCAATCAGAAAGCAGTAGCAGTCGACAACGACCCTTTCATCAGAAGTGATTGACTCGCTGTAGCCGAAGTTGTGCATCATGTTTCGCTGAGGTGGGATCATTCGCGAGCGCCAAGGCTGCTTGTCAACCCAGCTGATCAACCGTCTCTTGAGGAGCTCGATGAAACCTGTCTTCACTTATCTTTGTGACAAAAACAGAGGACAGGTCTGAGCTTCGACACGTCAACTAATGATAATTAGCAACTTGCCAGACAATTATGATAGGTTCAGCAAAGAGACAGCCTGTTACGGCCGCAAGGGTCGCGATGACCATCAGGACCATCTTAATCTGGGGCAGCATGCTGGCGGACATAGCTGACATGGGCATGGCACTTGGCTGGCCCGCCCAATCTGCTTCTTCAAAACGGAAACTAAAGCAGAAAGGAACCTGCGGTGCGGCTAGTAATCAACATGATGACACCAGGCCTTCTTCACAGACACGCTTGTGACAAAAGACTCCAGGCCTGTTCAGGCTGCTCTGAAGATCTTCGGGTGTTGGCCTCTGCGGCATCTGTTCGGTCCAAGATTTGTCATGGATACTTTCACCCCAGAGCACTGCACAAGGTGATATGGACCTTCAGGCCAGTTCGTGCCGAGAAAATGCTCGGCGCTTGAAAGTCGTGCTTTTAAATTTGTGTCACGCTGGCCCCTGCGAAAGGGACAAAACCTTCGGACAGTTTGGGCAACTCTGCTATCCCAGCAACGAAGCTCGTTCTACGAATCGAAACTTGAAGGTACTCATATTCTACACCAGTAACTTAAGCCTCATAGCCTAAACCCTAAACCCTAAACATGTCAAAACGCGAAGCCTGGCGCTCGTCGACGTTTTGGGTCTTTGCCCATTCCTGCCGGAAAGGCGAGTGGCGCATGCTCCTGATGCTATGCTAAACACCCCGAAGCTGAATTCTGCAAGCAATATGGGTGCGATCCTTTTTAAATCCTTATTTCTCATATACATACGATGCAAATACTATGTAGTCTACATAGTGTCGCATCGTATACCTATTCTGCTCCATTCGCTTATATTTTGATAACTTTAGTATATCATTTGGTCTTGTTTAGTTCACGGGAGAGGTCACTTCTCAGAGCCCCACTGCGGTGCGGTGTTCTTGGCTCCGGCCGCGCGTGCACGCAATGAGGCCTGCATGTTGACTTCTTTTCGGTATTTTGGAGAGGGATGGAGGGCGGGGAAGGGCGGGGAAGCTGTCGACTAAGTACATGGGTACGAAGTGTGTTGGTTGTTTCCAGGCCCCCGAAGCCCGTAAAATAATGATGCAGGGTTAAGTATAGACTTGCTTAGCCCTTCTCGCGCCAGATCTGTTTGTCGTAGGACTTCGTTTGATTCTCGGCGTGACATTGCGTGACAAGACATGGAGGACCTCCTTTCGGCTTAGGCATGCGCTGCCGCGCTGCCTGCACATTTGCAGCCCTGCCCTCACGACTTGGACTTCGCCGGGGCTGCGATGTGGGTCGCCTGGGCAAGGCAAAGCTCCGGCGCTCCGGTTTGGCAGGACATGCGCTGCGTACTGCGAATCAAGCAGACTTTGCTATCACTGGATTTCTCCCCCTCGAAGCTCCCGGTATGAGTCCTCTCTATGCTCTTTAGCCGCCAAGGCGGGAACCCTGGCCTGTCAGAGGCCGCACTGTGCAACGACTGCGCGCTGGCATTGCGCTCGATGTCCAAATCCACCCGCTGTCGAACCTGGGGCGGTCTAGGGGCTTCTGCTCCTCCTGTTCCACTCAGCAGACATCCGAATTAAAACGAAAGCATAGTTCAAGGATTCAGCTTCCTCGCGAAAGTTGACCACGAAGTTTCACAGCTTCGGCCTGCACAGCAGAGCCGCTGCGGGATACCGAGCGTGAGGATTGTGAAGCAGCCTCGGCAAGTATGCGAGGGAGAGTGAACTGTACAGCGGCGCTGCGCGCCAGAACATACTTGATCTTCACTTTTGGGTCTTGTTGTCGCAACCACACGCGATACCTCGTGTAGGTTTGAACTGTTTGAGCCCGGAGCACCCGCACTTGGAAAGACAAATCGGCAAAAAACCCTGGCTAAAGTGCAGAGCTTGAGATGCAACAGGGAGGAGCAACAGCGCACCAAATTTCTCTGAAGGGTTTCTGCAGAAACAGAGAAAAATACCAAACCCCGAGACCCTTAAAACCCTGAACCAATCAACCCGCAAGTCCCTAAACATCCCTAAACCCTTGAACCAGGCACCTGCTACCCTACCCTCCAGCTGGGGAATCAGCGCGAGGGGTGGTGGAGCAGCTCCCAGGGAGATTCGGGGTGACACCTGCAGGTACTATGTTGTACTATGATACAGCTATATCATACTGCATCAGACTGTAGGCTTTTGCATTACATCCTGTTTCCGTCGGTGCACTGCGGGGTCTTTACAAAGTCTGCTCTGCATTTTCCTTGGCATCGCTATGAGCTGAAAGAAGCAATGAACACTTGGGTGTTGGGACTGCAGGTCTGGCTTCTAGTCATCGCGACGAGAATATTGGTCTAACGATGACTCGCTGCACGCGGCTTCCTGCCCAAAGCTTCACCTCAGAGCTGCAAGACGACGTACGTCTACATGTGTGCCCGTGTATCGGCAGCTATATGTCCATGTCATGAGCCAGGCATAGAACCTCCTATGCCCAAGACGGCCTTTGAAAGAGCCTCCGCTGGAAGCCACTTGCCCGCCTCTCCTCCACCTCACTTGAAGTGTCAGGTTCCCTGAACGCCAAACAAATCTGAAATCGTGCAAGAACCCTGAACCCCTAAACCCTAAACCCTAAGCTGCCTCGCAGCTTCTCCAGCTGCTGCTGGGCAGCCTGAAGGCGCCCCTGGTCGAGCTTTGGATTGCCATCGCAGCCATGATCTGTTTGTAGAACGACTGTAGTCAGTAGCAGCAGTTGTTGTACGCATATATTGTCCCAGAAGACAAAAGTAACTTTGACTCACCATGGCCATTCCTGCTCAGACTGAACTAAACCCTATAAACCCTAAACACTGGCACTCTCAGTGTATGAAGCTCCGATAGATGCCGCTCGGGACTTGCTCTCCGGAGTTTTGACCAGGACGTAGACGATGACACCGCCGAAAGTGAGGCTGCCCCGGATGATGATAACGACGTGTCGACGACGACTATCACTGAATCACCGTTGCTGCGACTCACGACTGTGAAATGCATCTTGCACTTCACTACAAGTGTAGACCACGACCATGCCTCTAGCTGTAGGTTTCGCTGCGCCAACTCCATGATCGTGGAGTTTGCCTGCAGAATGTGTTTGGAGTTCCAGAGCTATGGGTCTAAGATTGCAGTTTAAAGGCTCTGGCTCACTCTGTGGAAGTTCGGGGCCTGGAATGTTAGCATTGTAACCTGGATGCCAGGGCTATCATAAGAGATCTAAGCACAACTTCCAACAGCGATAAATCCAAACACTATGTTGGCTTGCAGGACGGTGTGATGCGAAGCTCCGCATCTTCAAGCCGGGTTGCAAATAGGAAAGCAGTGCTGACTCTCGATACATGGATGATCAAAGTGCCAACAGATGCACCGACGATGGATTCAAGCTCTTCTCGTGCTATAGAACAGGAAGCAGAAAGTAGCAACAGCGCAACAATGTTGTATGAGAATAGAAGCAGGCTAGTGGCCAGTGAAGGCCATCTCATCATCGTAGTCATATCCACCGTCATGGACCGTCACTACCAAACTCTGAAGCCCTAGACTCTAGACCCCAAAACCCATCATCCGCTGAACTCATCATCCTCTCTGGAATCCTGGAAGCTCGGTGCGTCCGGGGCCTCGGAGGTCCTTTGCTCCGTGAGCTTCCGCAGCTCTTCGTTCTCCTGGGAGATTGGGAGACTGAATTGAGGTGGGGAGTTTCAAGGCATTGGGATTGGGTTGTAGGGTTTAGTGATGTGGTTTTGGGTTCAGGGTGGCCAGGCCTTGAGCTTGAGGTTGGGGGCCTCGAGTTCGTCGTTGTGGGCGGCTTTTGTCTCTCACGTTCTGGTTCCGCAGCGCGCACATGACCTGTGTCCGCGCTGGTCCATGGCTCCCGCTGTGGCACAGCACACATTCGCGACACAACTCGCGCTCTCGCCACAATCCGCACGCCGCGGCCTTCGAATTCATGGTAAGCTCCAAGGCTCTGCAGCATGTTTATAGTGACTCGCTCTGCCGCCAGAGTGCTGTGCACATTTTTGGGGTGTGCATCGTCTTCCCGCCTGAGTTCTGCCGCTTCTCGAAATCGTGCTTCCGCCACATGTAGTGTTTGAGGTGGTAGCCGTGTTTCCACTGTCGAAAGGTTACGTTGGCACCGCTTGCAACGCGCTACACGAAGGAAATGTATAACTAACCTAGGGAGAATTTCGGAACATACTGGTAACACCGGAGCCCTGAGACACGGGGAGAAGCCCCAAAGATCGACTTGAGTTCTGCAGCAGAGTGCCCGCTCCTGGGCGAGATGCTCTGCCTTTTCCCTCAGGCTGGTGTAAACCTTCCACAAGGAGTCCCTGCGGCCGAAGACACATAGCAGGACAAGCGACGTTGTGATATGCTAGGAACAGTTCTTGGACATATTCCATGCCTCAACGCAAAAGACAGCACGTCCGGTAGGAATTTGCGCAGGACACAAAGCGATCATCATGTCAATGTCACAGCGCAAAATTCAATGCTGCCACCCGATGTCCCATCTGCTAGCAGCATGCCGGCCTGAACCAGAAGCCTACAACAAATTGCTATCCGTATGTTGCCCCACCGCAATTTTGTACCGGCCGCCCTCGTCGCTTCAGACACAATTTCCGTCAACGAGCCTGCCTGTCCATCTGCTCGGGTTGGGATGCCGGAGACGTCGCCTCGTCTTCAAATGTCGATCGCATCCCCTTCGACCCCAAATATCTCTTGTAGAAATATGTAGGGCGAAGCATTTAGGGGCACCGTATCAAACCCCTTGCTACAGCATGTGCTAAACACCTCACGAGTCTTGAACAGGAAGGCGGAAGCAAATTTCGTGATCCTGACTGCGTTGTCTCCTATCCGTGATGTGCCTGAAGCCACGAATGATGGTGGTTTAGCACCTCTAATCGATCTAGCCTCCATGTTTCGCTACAATGCACCGAAACTCTTCTAGCACAGTGGATGCAGCATCCCGCATTTTACATGTGCGTTACTTGAAACCAAGACCCCAAATTGTCAAGGACCACATATTCCACCATTCGGTTTCTTGGAGTCTGCATGTTCGCCTTCTGTGGCCTACCATCAACATTTTTCAAGTTTCCCGAATGCTGGCATGTATGTGCTGGAAAGACTTTGGGAAACTGCGACGTCAGCCAGGCACAACTGGAATGCGGGGGAGTGCTGGGCCTGCAACATAGGGTGGAATGATCGTCGTTGGAATCTGCTCGGCCCACCTCTGCCTAATGCCTCGAATCGAATATTGCTGTAGGTAGAACGCCGATTTGTTGTTCTGCAGGCAGAACCAGCACGGCTTGTCCACATGTGCCGTCTAGTGTGTTGGACGAGTGACGAGTACAGGTGTCTCGAAGGCTAACAACAATGAATATGCGTCTACATCCGAAGGTGTATAAAGGTGAAGACTTGGCAGCTACAGTTGCAAGGATCCAGCCTCATCATCATGACAACCACAACTTGACTGCATGTGCATCCAGAACCCAAGCGCCCCCAAAGCCCAGGGTCTCAGAAGGCAGAAGCTAGCAGCAGCACGCCTCCGGAGCTTTTGCATTCCCGCTCAGGCGCATGTTCTCCTGATCTCGCTGGGCATCGTTGGTTGAAGTAAGTCTGCACCCACATTTCAGGAACTCTAACCTCCTATTCCCTCAACTCCTAAACCCTATGTCCTCTGTCAGCCGCCCCAGGATCTCCTGTCGGAAGGGGGATGGTCGCAAGCTCCCAAAGCTCGAAGCCCCTGAGGCCCCACTGTACGGCATATGACGGCATATGGGTAGTTGTCAAAATTATGGTCCCTTTTGGGGTACCCTAAATAATAGGTGCCGTATTATAATAAGGGCCCAAAAAGGGACCATAATTTTGACAACAACCCATATGGCTCTACGGAACATGGCAATACGTGGCTTTCTGGAGTTTTGCCAGGTCTACAGGGATGCTGCTCTTGCGACGTGGGAGCTGAGCCTCCCAGCTCAAAGATTACGCAAGAGATATTATTCCTGAGGGTTCCTTGCTATACTTTTACTTGAAAGATCTTAGGCTTTTTTATATGCTTGCTATAAAGCTGATGGCTTGGAGTCCTCAGGGTTCCTTGTTATAGCTATGTGTGCTATAAAAATCTGAGGCTTTGTTACACCTTTGCTGTAAGACTGATGGCTTGGTCCGAGGGGGTGGAGCTGCTCACCACGTGCGCTCCCGAAGACTCAACCAGAGTCAACCATGTCTACCACGACCACTACTAAGACGACGACCAAGACTGCTACTGCTATTTCTTTTTAGAAACACTCCTACTCCGAATTGCCGTAAATCTCTCTAAACGAAAAAACACCTCACCCCCTAAACCCATGAACTCTCTGCTTTGACGACCCTCCAAGAATGCTACACAAAAAATGGGCGGCGGCCTCTGCCGAGGCCAAGCGCTCCTCAAACCGGGAGCGCTGAGCCTTGGCTGAGGGGGCTTAGGGCGTAGGGCTGCTAGGGGTGTCTGAGTTTAGGATTCTGCGCTTTAGGAGTCAAAGGGTTTTTGGTTTTCAGATTTAGGGCTTATCGCTCATTCGTTTAGGGTTTCGGCTCTTGGGCTTTCGGGTTCTGGGTCTGGGGTGCTTTGGGTTTTTTCAAACTCGAGGGCTCGAGGTCGTTCGGTTTTGGTTCGGGCTTCTGCTCGAGGCCAGCAAAAACGCAGCTTCCAATCAAGTTGCCCAAGTGACGGCAAGTTGCTCTCTCTCTGTCTCTCTATACATATATATATAATATATGAAGATTGATACCGAAATTGACACTCATACTGACAATGATAAATGTAGATATCTATATATGTGCCCCGCGAACGGAGTAAGAGTATTGGTCCTCTGAAGACTTACCACCTTGACGCTTCAGGAATGAAGCTCTACCTACGCTAACCCTGAAAACACCATTACCACCTGAACCCAAAATCCCAACTCCCGATTTCAGCCCGGCCTTCTCGCTGTCGAGCTGAGTGCGCAGGTCCTGTTTTGGGTTTTAGTTTAAGACTTTAAGAATCTAAACAAGACGAGGTGCAGAAAAAGGCGAGCTCTACACATCATGCAATCGAAACTCGTTCCCTGTTGCCGGAGTCTCAATAATCGCCAGCCACGCCGGCAACTGCAACGACAATTATTGCGCAATCAGCCTGATAGCACTCGCTATATTAAGAACAATGACGAGAATAACATTAGTGACAAGGGCTAAGCAGCTGATAATGACAAACCATTCACACGATCAATGGCAAGTGTAGCAGTGCCGGCCATAAGTACTTGTCATGCGTTGCAAGCTACTGACACGATAACTTTGGGAAGGGCGGGGACAGTTCATGGACATTCTCTCTAAGCACCCGAAACCCAAGGCCCTGAACAAAACAACCTGGTCTGCAAAGATTTCACTCTGAGAGTCACTGTGTGGGCTACTATCAGGACGGCTACCAATTACAAGATGAAATCAGGGCTACTGTGCAGTCCTGAACCTGGCGGCGGAGTTCGTCCCGGTTCGAAGAAAGTGCCTGACGGGATGGCTTTTCTCGTGCATGTCGAGTCATGCACATGCAGCTAGGAGTTAAGTTGGAAGCATGTCTGAATAAGGACCTGGGCAGCGCAGGGACTCTGAGTCCGGCGAGCCTCAAAGTGCTGAGCTGACTGCAGGGAAGCTTCCACCTGCTCCAGGCTTGCATTCGCGGCTCTTATGTCACATCAAGCTACAGGATATTGCACCGCATCATCTGATGTTGCGCTACATTATACCTAGCGTATTGGATTGATGGCGATTCGGGCTACGTTGCACCGTTTCCACTGTACTCTCTTCGAAACCATGCGAACATGGGCTTCAGCGTCATGCTGACTGCAAGACAGAAGCTAAGCCCAGAACAAGCTTCTCCGTCAGGAAGTGGTTTTCACTTCTCAGGAGATGAACGTCACTTCCCGCAGACTCGCCTCAGCCGAAATCCTCTCAACGACCACGTGCTCCCAGGAAAATCTGCAACTGCGCCTGCGCTGAGCCCCGGGGCCTGGCAGCAGATGCAGTGGGATTTACTCTTTGAAACAGATGCTGCTTAGGAATCCGTTGGTCATATTGTAAAGGTAGACTTATTCCTAAGGAACACGCAGTTTAAGGCTTCGGGCGACCCGAAACCACTCTCAGAAGTGCAGTGAGCAGTCGGAGTCCTCTGGGCTACCAGGTCGATGCTCAGTGGACACGGCCTGGTCAGGAGCGAGCTATACTATGCCGTGCTTTACTATACCATACTATACCATACTATACTATACCATACTATACTATACTATCCTATACTATACTATACTATACCGTGCTTTACTAGGTATGGTATACTATGCCCTGTCATATTGTACTCGACTTTACGATACGCTATACAGTTGGGCTGTCTAGACTGGAAACTTGCTGAACCATGCAAACATGTAATACACTATACTATACTATACTATACTATACTATACTATACTATACTCTTCTTACGTTAGTATACAGTATTTTAAAGCATACATATCATACCTACGTATGCGCACAGTCACTTCGTGGCGAACGGGCCTCGGGCACAGGAGCTCCTGGAGAAGAGATGGAGCTGCCAACCATGCCTGGAACAGACATATACTTCAATCAAATCTAACTTAATACTATAAAGTATATCGCTGAAAGGCCTTGGCCTTGCCCCTGGAGCAGGGCCACCTCAGCGGCTGAAACCAAACTTAGTAACTTCTGAGTTTAGGGTTTAGGGCTCTAAAGGCTTTCTGAAGGTCTTCAGGATCCTTGTTGGTTTTGAGGGTCTCTAGGATGTGCTAAGGGTTTCTTCTTGTGGATTTTGGGTTATGGGGGTTCAGGGCTCAGACTAAGTGCCAGAAAGTAAGGAGCCTAGCTGACGTTCCTGGAACTCCCGGCCCTTCGAGCTGAAGGGCTGTGAAGCTGTTATGAGGCCTTGAGGTTCAGGGTTTCAGGTTGAGGAATCCGAGACATGTCCAATGGCTTATGTAGCATGTTGAATCGCAACCGATCTGGTGGAAGAGGTGCTGACACTGTGGGCTTAAGGGCCGTACACTTTCCCGCTCCCGCCGACGTGAATCAGGGATCGGTAGCGTTGGCCTGGGAGACAGAGCATTGGGGTCTTGAAGTTTGAAAACCTCTGTAACGGTGTCAAGAGCTTGGAAGGACTCCGGGGCACCGTCTATGTGTGTGTATACACACATGTATGTATGTATGGATGGATGCATGTATGGATGTATGGATGTATGGATGTATGGATGTATGTATGTATGTATGTATGTATGTATGTACGTACGTATGTATGTATGTATGTATGTATGTACGACGTATGTATGTACGCACGTATGCACGAGTACGTATGTATGTGTATGTATTTGTATTTGCATGTGTATGTGTATGTGTGCAGGTATGTGTATGTGTACATGTATATAATTGGGGCCGCGACCCAGGCATTGCGCTCGGCTGCAAGATCTCCTCCAGGCTCGTGCTCGTCGCCTGCACTTTCGTGGCGAAATACGTAGTCTACAGCAAAGGCTGCCGTGGAGTCTGCCCATCCAACGACTTGTTCAATGTTGGCACGGTACATTCGTTCCTCTTCCGCTTCGAAAATCCAGGCTGTACTCGAGCACGAACACTTTTTTTGCAATGCAGGGTAGGCAACCTATAAGTCCCGCTTCACTGAACCCAGAAGCTCAAGCGTGCAGGTGTCCACGTCCTTGCCTTGGTTGTGGCAGTCAAGAACTGGGGCACTTGTCACGAGGCATGCTGCAGGCAGCCCGGACCATCGCCGTGCATGCGAACAGAAAATCTCAAACGGGAGTGCTGGAAGCGATAGCAGGCGTGGTGCACTTCCCAAAGAAGTGAGCGTGGCTGTTGACCACCTTGTCTGCACTGAGCCGCTTCTCCACAGATCTGAGGAACATGGCTGCAACCTTTGGGGCGGCGGTCTTCGAATCTGCCTTTTTCCTCAGTCATACAGGGCCAGAGAAGCAAAGCACTGTAAGGTTAGAGAGAAACATCAACCGTCAACTCCAGAACAGAGCCGTCAACTCAACGGTTCAACCACACAGTCATCCAACCAAACCATACAACGGAATCATTCGTGGCTCTGGCCCACTGATGTCAGCAAGGCGTAGGCTTCGCTGTTGTCCTTGACACATTCCTCCTTGTCCTTGGTGCAGCACGCCGCTGCGTCCACCTGTAGATCATTCCTGGGCTAGCGCGAGTTTTCAAGGCTTGGCGTGGTCTGCAGCAGTGCTCGGAACAGGCAATCCAGGCAAGGACTCAAGATTGAGAAGATAAGCCTAGAATCAGGAAATCTTCCACTCCATTTTCACTGACAATTGCGCCGACCTTGTCCAGCAAGCAAGCACCCATCTCCTCCTTCTCGTTGCTTGGGGGGCCCTTGAGCAGGTCGCCGTCGAAGAAGTTGTTGTCAAAATCACCGGCGAGAATTTTCCCCACCATGCCGGGCAGTGTGGGATCGGCGGGTTTGTCCGCATGCACGCAGAGTACTCCAGACAGCACGGAAAGAAACCATGGTGACGGAAGGCCCATGGCGACGGGATGAGGGGGAAGTTTGGTCTTGAGCTCCACGCAGCGACTTGGGCCAAGACCAAAGATCAAAGCTCTCAGCTCGACTGCATCTAATTCCACCAGCACCAGGCGGATCAGCCACGATCAGTGCACAGCGCCTCCTTTGTGCGTCGAGTTGAGCCGGGCGGGCCCTCGAGACCTGAACTCAGAAAGTGAGCTTCAACTGAATCTGCTCGGGCTATGTGAGACATCGCCAAGCACAATGCTGATGCAATGCAGGCAGGCTATTCCTTCCTGACTGGGTCGGAATCTCTATGCAGTCTTTTCGCGGAGTCTCTCCGTTTGTATTGGCTTCTCCATGCCTCCACGCACACTCAAACTTCATGCACCGCCATGCACCGTCTCGACTTCAGCTGCCGTGAGTGTCGCGTGCTCTGTGAACTGTGAACCTCTCCGCCTACCCTAAACCCTAAATGAAGCAGCCCATGGTGGCCGGGCGGCGGTCCAACGAACTTGTCGGGCTCGTCGGGGGTCGCGCCCTCGGGGCCTTTGGTGCACTCTTCGGGGCTTCCCTCGGATCCCACGAGCATACAAAGAAGCTGGGACTTCGGCCGGATCCTGAATAAATTCCCAAGCTCTTGGCTTCGGCAGTCCTTGCCGGTTGTGGCAAATCCCCTCTCGGCGTCCTTACTACCTAAAGCCGCTGAGCTACACGAGGTGTCCCGACAGGAAGCTTTATTTGCAACAGCCCCCCCGATCCGGTAGATTCCAGACTTCCTGCTCTCTAAAGATCTCGGAAACAAGCCGGAGCAGGGTGTCATGGCTCTGACATGTGCTGTGGCAGACTAGGCAATGACTGTCTACTCTACGTAAATATGGCATCTTTGGATACCGCACGTATCAACCGGATGCAGAAAACCTTGTGATGCAATTTTTTGAAGAGTTACCGCGAGCGAAACAGAACCAACACAATCCAATAGGCGGGTCCTCTTGAGCCGGAGCTCCCCAGCTCAGGAAGCTGTGGGACCTTGCAGAGCTCGGAATAGAGCAATACACTCAATACACCACATGGGTAGTTGTCAAAATTATGGTCCCTTTTAGGGTACCCTAAATAATAGGTGCCGTATTATAATAAGGACCCAAAAAGGGACCATAATTTTGACAACCACCCACATGTATGTACCATGCTGCAACATGGCGGGACATGGTTCTTCATGATCTGTACTGAATGATCATAACATAGGCTATGCTATGTTGGAAGATCTCCGAAGCAAAACAAAGAGTTGAATACCATTGTGCCTCGGCAGTCGTATTTACATTGAACGACAAGGCGCCATGATGCAACGGCGGTACAGTGTTACCTGAGCCCAGCACAGACATTCCGGGATAGACCTGTGCCGGGGGCTGTACAGAATTCGGCTCCAGGTTCCCTTCAACCTTCAAACGAATCGGTGCAACCGCAGATTCATAGAGTCTAGACAAGAAGTAGTGAAATCGTTTGTCGAACAGCGCCTGGCTACACCACTCTGGCACGACCACCTCCAACTGCTGCTGCTGCTGCTGCTGCTGCTGCTGCTGCTGCTGCTCCTACCTGCTACGAGTACCGCGGCTCCGACGTCGGCTGCTCACTTCCTGATTCCCCTCAAGTCAGTCGCTGCCCCAAGCAAAACCGCCAAGTGCATGGCACTGCCAGCCTCGGGAGACTCGCTTGTAGCCGATATTCCAAGGGCCTGTTTGGCTGCTGACAATGGGCCAATGGGGTTTCTGGTTTGTGGCGGGCTGGGGTTTGGGCTGTACAGTTTTCAGTTTAGGCTACGGAGTTCTTCGTTTAGGGTACAAGCTTTGCGGGTGCCACTGAGGTTTGTCTCTGCTGGTCGGTTTGGGCTGCTGGGCTACCTTAAAAAAAGCCCGAGTATGCACGAATGATGAAATTTTCATGTTATACGACAGTCTGTAAGTGCCTGGTCCTAGGAAAGATCGCCAGGCCATTAGCTAAATCCTCGGGATGTGAAGTCCAAGCCAAGTCCCGAAATGTATCCTTGCTGCTATTGTGAAGCACCTGCCGCTGTGCGCGGACTTCCGCCAGACGCTGCTGGAGGCTGCGGACCTTCGCAGGGCTCACATATGAAATCAGACGGGGATGTAAAGCCGGCTTCGGGTTTCTGTATTGTTGTGACTTCCGTATCCAGCGTGCAAGAGCTTGGATACAAGCTGCAAGGGCTGGAGGCCTAGACTATGTTTTATACTATGCTTTGCTATTCAACATTGACGCTGCAAGTTTGTCTGATCTATGGGTAGCACAACCGTTTGGATCCTCGTCGAGAGTCAGCTCCTTGAATTTGTCTTCGAAAGCGCTCGGGGCTGTCGTCAGTCGTAGCTTTGGTTGCGATACTTAGTATTAAAAGTAACAGTGGCAACATTAGTCGAGGTAGTATCCGCAACAGTGGGAGATTAGGTGGTGGCGGTGGTGGTGCTGGAAGTAATAGTAGTAGCAGCAGCAGGAGGAGGGGGAGGAGGAGGAGGGATTTGCATGCTTCTTGATCGAGCATTAGCATCCGGATTGTTGACGCACGTGTAAAATTTGCTAGTGCCAGTTGCTGGCCGAGGCATCGTCAGCAGGCTCATATGTCAGAACCATAGCTGGAGTTGCAGCCGTTGCCTCTGCACGTACCCCCCAACGAACGATCCTGACCTCCAGTATACTTGCATAGAGTGGATGAGCGTGGTATATATGTTTGTGCGTATTTATGTATCTCTCTCAACACACATACATATATATATATATA